TTGAAATGTACTCCTCAGATCTCAGCCTCCTGAGTAGCTAGGATTACAGGTGTGAGCCACCTGCATGCCCTTGGCACATCCCTACCATTTATTAAGCATTTATTCTAAATGAGATACAATAATGCTCTAAATAAAGCTGCTGCTACTTTTTGTCTTTGATTTATAGATGAAGAAATTGAGCCCAAGACATTAATGAATTTCCTAAGACCACAAAATTAATAGCAAGAGAGATGGAATTTGGATGTAGGAAATCTGGCTCTAAACTCTAAGTTTGTAAACTTGAAGTTTGTTACACTACACAAGCATGGGTTGCAGATGGGTAACTGATAGCCTAGTGGAGCTAAAACTAGGTGTCAGTTTGAGGTACTATGATTTTCCATCACAATACTCTCTGATTACAATAATCTGTTGTCATTATAACCCTTCATGACTACTTTTTTAGCTAAGTGCAATCCTCAGCCTGCTACTTAAGGGAATCTAAATAAGAAGGCTTCCTTGTGTCCCCAGACAGCTAACATATTCCCTGTTGTGAGAACATGTACCTTGCTATGGCCAGGCTCTGAGGCTATCATCTCTGGTAACACTCAGGCCTAATTACATCCTTTCTTGGCTTCCAAGTTCACTGCCAATCCTTCCTTTTCTCAGAAGTCATCCCTGACACTGCAGGTCATCTATCTTTAACGTTTAAAATTTATTTTTGGCAGTACTGGAGTTTGAAGTCAGGACTGCAAACTTTTGCTTACCATTTTCACTCAAGGTTGATGTTTTATCACGTGAACTACACCTCTAGTTCTGGCCTTTTTTTGGTTAATTAGAGGTAAAAGTCTTGAAGTTTTGTCTGTCCATGCTGGCTTTGAACCTTGAGCTTCATATGTCAGCCTTCTGAGTAGCTAGGATTATAGATGTGAGCCACTGGCACCCAGCTGTTTTCATATATTTTTTTGAACAGAGTCTTGAGTTTTGCCTGGTCAGATCTGGACTGAGATCCTCCTATTTACACTTCTTATATAGCTGGGATGACAGGCACATACCACTTCCTTTAATTTTTGAAATGAGATCTCACAGAATTTTGCCCAGGCTGTCCTCAAACTATGATCCTCCCTATCAATGCCTCCTCAGTTGTTGACATTACAAGTGTAAGTCATTATACCAAGCTCTACCCCTTCCTTTTCTTCAAACTCCCAATTGGATCAATGATCTGGAATACTGCTTCCCTTCCTTTGCAAACACAAAGACAACCTTTGAAGTCCCATGTGACTGTGAATACATAGTATCCACTGTGAGGGATCTTGGACAAAGGTTCTCAGCTTTGGCTGCTCATTTGAATTCAGGTGAGAAAATATTTAAAAGCTCAGTCAGTGTTCAGGGGATGGGCACAGTGGTACACACTTGTATTCCCAGGAATACACACTTATATTCACAGGAGTGGTAGGCAGAGGATCATGATCTGAGACTGGCCCAGCTAAATGTGCAAGACTATTGGAAAAACACACTGAAAATGGGAAAAATAGTGACATTATGGATGCAATGGTTGAATGCTTTCCTAGGCAGCAAGAAGCCCCTGGTTCACATCCTAGTATTACCAAAACCCCAAATAAAACACAGCAATAATATCCAGTGTTCAGACAGCAACTCAGAACAAAGGAACCAGAATCTCTAAGGAATGAGTGCAGTTTTCTAGTTATTTTGTAAGTTCCTAGGGTGATTCAAATGGCCAGTGAAGTCTGAGAATTGCTGGTGTAGCACCTGACATCTCAAACTCTGTGACATATTCATCAACACACCTTCTATTATGGAACCTTTGTTGGTCTTCATCTACAGGTCTGAAAGCACTTAAAGGCAAGAAAGTGTTTCAATATTTCCAAGTTTTCTCTATATAAAATGTGGATCATGGATAAGTGACACCAGTATCGTCTGGGGGCATGTTAGAAATGCAAATTCTGAGGCTTCCTCCCCAGTTTTACTAATTTAGGAGGAACAGGTTACTAACACCTATTGGTGCTGGGGGCTAGTGGCTCATGCCTGTAATCCTAGCTACTCAGCAAGCTGAGATCTGAGGGTCACAGTTCAAAGCCAGCCTGGAAAGTCCTTGAGATGTTTGTCTCCAGTTAGTCACAGAAGACCAGAAGTGGCACTGTGGCTCAAAGTGGTAGAGTGCCTTGAGCAAAAAGAGCTCAAAGACAGCACCCAGGCCCTGAGTTCAAGCCCATGACTGGCCAAAAAAAAAAATCTGCTGGTGCACCGTATGGGCAGGATTATTTAACACAAAGAGACCACATATAGCTTGAGGTCTAGGACTCTTGGCCCTCAAAAGACCATAGAAATAAATATTTTTTCATGAATGTATGTGTGTATGGCATCATGGCCATCATATGGACTATTCTTTGTCTTACACCTAGAAAATAATCAACCCCAGACCATTTTCTTTTCATCCTGTCTCACTCAATCTTGCCAAATATTTTTATTAAGTCATCTTAGACACCCACCGAGCTCCTGGGAGCATGTCTTTATATCCTTCAAGTCCTGACGTTTACCTAAAAGCTTGCTCTCATGCTCCCTCTCTTAGACGTACAGTTCTAATTCCTATCTTTATAGAGATAGGAGATAAAAGAGGTTGTACAATTTTACAGCTTAATGTGGGCTTAATATGTGTGCTTCTTCCTTTTCCTAAGAGCAGAGAAAGCTTCACCTTTTGGTGTTGGCATTTATATGCCAACAGTATACTTTAAAACCACCAAAAAGATAATTTCTACCCATGGTTTTTTAAAGTATGGCATGTACCTATTTAATAATACTATGGAAAAGGAACAATTTTGCCAGTTAAAGAGCAGCAGTTTTGGAGGTATAGGTTTGCTAGCTTCCTCAAAGGGTAGCCCCCAGATGACATGGCACTTGAACTCAGAGTCTCATGCTCAGCAGACAGGCACTCTTACCTCTGAGCCTCTAGCCATTTGTTTGCACTGGTGATTTATAATGTCTTACTTCATGCCTAGGATCGTACACGGGCCATAATTGCTTATTTAGACTTCCTGTTGTAGCTAGGATGACAGGCATGAATCACCATGTCCAGCTCTTAGTTGAGAAGGGGGTCTTGTGAACTTTTCTTCCTAGGCTGGTCTTGAACTAACTCAGCCTCAGTACTAGCTAGGATATAGGCATCAACTATTGTGCCTGGCTGACTTGGATTTTTTAAAGTATGTCTGAAAGGTTGATCCAGTTTACAAGGTCTTCCCTGCTCAGATGGAAATGAAGCCAGGCTGAATGAAGCAGGGTTATTAATATGACTTGAGATGGGATTGAACAATGTCAAATGTCTTTTCACTAAATTTCTCTTAAGTAGTTTAATTTTATTTGACATAAGTATGTATGAATAAATTAACATATGTCATCATATCTTTTTTGTGTGTGCCAGTACTGGGTTTGAACTCAGGGTCTTCAACTTGCTTGGCTTGCTTGCTCATGGCTGGCACTCTACCACTTAAATCATGCTGTTAGCCTAGCATTTTGATGGTTAATTGGAGATGAAGTCTGGCAGACTTTTTCACCCCAAATCCTCCTAGCCTCGTCTCCTGGAGTAGCTAGGATTACAAGCATGAGCTAAAGGCATCCTGCCATGGGTTGTCATTCGAAGATATAATCAAATAAGACATGTCATTATTGTATATATTACTTAGAAAGTAGATTGGGCACTAGTGACTCATGCCTATAATCCTAGTTACTCAGGAGGCTGAGATCTGAGGATTGCAGTTCAAAGCCAGCGTAGGTAGGAAAGTTCACAACACTCTTATCTCCAGCAAATAGCTGGAAGTGGAGTTGTGGCTCAAGTGGTAAGAGTACCAGCCTTGAGCCAAAAAGCTAAGGGACAGTAACCTGGTCCAGAGTTCATGCCCCAGTATTGGTGTGCATGCACGTGTGTGTGTGTGTGTGTGTGTGTGTGTGTGTGTGTGTGTGTGTGCCCGCATGTGCGCACACGTGCATGCGTGCGCGCGCGCGCGCACACACACACACACACACACACAGAGCCAAAAGTTCCATACAATGTGACTGTAATAACCATTATGATTGACCATAAAATCAGACTAATGAAAAATTCATGCTACTGTAGGGGCAAAATGGCAGCAAACCGTAGCCTATAGAATGGTTCATATTTTTTTTTTCATTGCAAATTTGCATGGATGTGGTCATCAGTGTGCATTTCCATGAAAAGAATAGTAGCTACAGCTGGGTGCTGGTGGCTCACACCTGTAATCCTAGCTACTCAGGAGGCTGAGACATGAGGAACATGGTTCGAAGCCAGCCCAGGCATGAAAGTCTATGAGAATCTTATCTCCAATTAATCACTCAAAAACTGGAAGTGGAGCTGTGGAACAAAGTGGTAGAACACTAGCGTTGAGCCCAAAAGCTCAGGGATAGTGCTAAGGCCCCGAGTTCAAGCTCCACAACAAAAGAGAGAGACAGGAGAGAGGGAGGGAGAAGAGAAAAATGAAAAGTAGCTACAAAAAATGAATGGGAGAATATACACACCTCTGATTTCCAATGGGCTCTAAGGCATCAGTGAAGGCCTATGCTGTGGTTTGCTAATGCATCGCTCCCACTGGGAAAGCTGCACAAATAGACGCCTCCAGGTGCAGCCTCACTGACCACTAAGAACCATTATTATTATTTTAGAAGCAGAATCACTTATGTGTATCACTGTCCACAAGCTTCTTACTAGTATTTTAGTGATTTCTCCCCAGAAAATACAGTCAAAACGATCTCCAGGTGCTAGAGAAAGCTGAAAATGGACCAGAAAAGTCTTGTAAAGTGGTTTCTAATTTGATAAGTGGATTGGTAAGACCGAAGAATTTTCTGGTTAGGTGGAGTGATTAGAATTGTCAGAAAGTTGCCAAAATTCCATTTCAGTCACTGTACATGAGATTATGTAAACATTGCTGTTTCTTTAGAAATGGAAATAAAAATCCCCAGTGTGGCTTTAGAGAACGGAAAACTGGCATACTCACGATGATTGGGAAGCTTTCCTTCTGAGTAAATAGTCCACGACATCAGGATCTGTCTCTAACAGGCTGATCAGAACCTCGTTCTGGAGATCCGGGGGAACCTGGAGGAGCCAAATGTAGAGATATAAATAAAACCATTGTAGAAAGATGCAAAGCCATGGCGTTGGCAGCTTTCTGATCGTTGAAAACATAGCTTTAATCTGAAGGCATGTAAGGCATCACACAATAGATACACTGCATATCCATGTTTCTGGCAGCACTATTTGCAATAGGAAAACTATGCAATCAGCTTAGGTGCGCATCAACAGATTAGCAGATAAAGTGGTGGACATGTACACACTACAATATTATTCAGCAATAAAGAAGAACAGAATGATGCCATTTGCAGGAAAATCCATGGGACTGGAGGTCATCATGTTCTGAAAAATAAACCAGACTAAGAAAGACAAATGTCACATGCTCTCTCTCATATGTAAAATATAGACCAAATGGAAAGGTATGAATGTAAAATGGGGATTGTTTGGGAGGAGGAAACCAGTGGGAAGAGGGGAAAGAAAAAGGATGATGAATATGCTGGAAGTAGCTTATATGCATGCATGAAAACAGAATCATGATCAGGGTGCCAGTGGCTAACACCTGTAATCCTAGCTACTCGGAAGGCTAAGAAGCAATGATCATGATTCAAAGCCAGCTGGGGCAGGAAAGTCGATGAAATTCTAATTAATCACCAAAAGCCAGAAGTGGAACTGTGGCTCAAATGGTAGAGCCTTGAGCAAAAAAGCTCAGGGACACTGCACATGAGTCAAGTTCAAGCCCCAGGACAGGCACAAAAAATACAATAATAAAAAACCCATTAACACAAATTATTTTTAAAAGGAGGAGGGATAAGAAAATGTAATAGGATGAATTTGATCAACATATATTAAACACATATATGAAAACATCACACTGTTTGTATGTTAATAAATGCTCATACAAATTTAGGAAAAGTCATAAGACCTACATTCATGTATACAGCTCATTGAATTCTTAAGACAAACTGGATGATTATATACTTTTATAATATTCTGTTTCAATGTAAATGTCTTCACTCACATGCCTGGAGGTGACAACCTAATCAGTCACTTGAGTGCTGCTGTTGCTCAGACTTGATTTTTCTGGGCTTTGTGGTAGTAAAATATCATGGTTAAGAAGAAAAGTGTCCATACTTTATTGTCTAAATGAAAATACTTTCTGGAGCTCATATTTTGAGTATGCCATGGCAACAGGCAGAAGCTATGACCGTCTTGAGCAGTTCTGGAATATATGATTTGTTTATTAAGAGGCACGTCTTTGAAACAAAGCGCTCCAGTTCTAGCTCCACAACTTATTAGCTAGAGGACCTTCAACAAGAACATTCACAAAGACCTTTCCAAGTTTTGATGTCCTCATTTGGAAGGAACAGTAATATTCAACATAAAGAGTGGTAATGGTGAGTCAGTGACATTTTGTGTTGAGAATGTAGGATGTACTTGGTCAATAGTACTAAATAAATCTGGTGCTCCTTCTGAATGTCTTTGCTGTGCCCGCCTTCCCTCCTTCCTTGTCCCTTAGTCAATCAACAATTAAATACATCTCACTTGGTTATTGCCCAGACATCCACTAGGACTCCATGGACAAACACCTGATGTTTCTCTGAGCTGAATTTGCAGTGTATTAGAAGATGACCCTGTCATTTGTGTGGAAAATGTTCTACAAAGGAAGATTCAACTGAATGTGAGTTCAACACAGCTCTGGCTGGCACTTTTCTATTCCATAGATGCTGCTAGTTCAACTGGAGGAAACTCAAATTATTGAGAGAAAATAAATGTCCTCATTTTCTCACACAGAGGCTCAGAGAGAAGATTTTTGAAAAACCACAAGGACATGTCTTCTGAGAATAAGTGGTTGGTGGAAGAATTTGCCTCTGCCTCTTGCAGAATTCAATTGTTCTTGAGCTCCGAGAAGCTGGAAACAATCTTATTAATACAAGCAGGGTTGAGAAAGCAAGAAAATGCTTTCCTTCTCTCATAAATCTGTTCCTCCTACTTCATCCTGAATCTTCATTAATGATACTGCCAAACCCTAGTTGCTTAAGCTCATACTCTCAGAGCTGTGTTCTACCCTCTCAGTGTCTTATACCCCTCCCCATTCAGAGTCAGAAGGTCTATTTGATTTCATCTCTGTTTCTGCTTTCCTCCTCTTTCCATGCCAACTACAATGACCTAAGTTCAAGCCTTCACCACCCCTTTGTAGTGGTCATCTGTTGACCATTACCAGCTCCTATGTCCCTTTTCTTATAAAAATTATACCCTAAGTTCCCTCTGGAGAACCAAATGCTGCCCAACACATTACTCCAAAGTGAAGTGTTCATCCTAATCTAAGTCAACTAATCTTTCCATTCCCAGACCACCATAGTTGACTGAGAAGGGGCATGTGACACCATTACAGGCAAGGGCAGCATGTGAGAACTTCTTTGTGGCTTCTAAGACAGAAAATACAGGGTCAATAACCATACGGGACCTGAGAAGTTCACTGGCAATTGAGGAGAATAAGAAACGGAACAAGAGAGAAAGAAGTAGTCTCTTGATGGCATTTAGGAATGGTGTTAACTTCTGCTTGTCACCACATTGGAGTTTCAATTCTTCAGCAAGATGGGCCCTGAAATTCCTTCAGATAGTTCGAGTTTATAGATTACATACATATCTTGTGGGCCCTAAATGTAACAGCTTGCTAACTTGTGCACAGTTTCCTTAAGCTGTGCATCAAAGTACTTCACATAGTCATCAGAATGTTCTGATCAAGATACTAGCTTGCCTTCCTTGGTGTGTATTTCCCATTTTTTTCTCCTGGCAGTCATTCCCACAGACTTTCTCCCTCAGTACCACTGTGCTTCCCAGCTTTGTACCACCTCTATTCCTTTCACTCATTGCATAGATATTTGATGAAGGTCTACTAAGTGTCAGACCATAGATGCTGGGATTCAACTAACAACAACAGACAAGAATCCTGGTACTAGATGCCCCTCAGTAGATGAATGGATCAAGAAAATGTGGCATATATACACAATGGAATTCTATGCCTCCATCAAAAAGAATGGCATTGCCCCATTTGTTAGGAAATGGAAAGACTTCGACAAAATTATATTAAGTGAAGTAAGCCAGGCCCAAAGAAACATAGGTCCCATGATTTCCCTTATTTGCAATAACTAGTATATGTCTGAGACAAGCAGAAAAGGTCAGATAAGTTGATGTTAGGTGAAATGAACCCCAAGATAAGGACACAAGTGGTTTTTTCTTTCTTGTTATTGTTTCTAACATATTTATTTATGAATTTTTGTTTCTTTGTATGTCCCTCCCCCACGGTATAACCCCTGCTTTCACTGTATTTGATATTGGTATAATTTGTGGAGGGGAAGGGAAAAAACAAATCATTTAAATAGGGATACAGTTGGACCCATTGCAACAATGAGATGTACAAGTCATATTTCGAAAACGAACTTTACAACTTTGGTGGGGGGGGAGGAGGATGGGATGGGAAGGGGAAACAAAGGAGGAGGCTACAATGCTTGATAAGAAATGTACTCATGATCTTGCCCATGTAATTGTAACCCCTCTGTATGGCATTTTCACAATAAAAAAAATCTCAAAAAAAATTAAGTGAAGTAAATCAGGCCCAGAGAGACATGTCTATACAAATGTATTAACTGAAATATGGTAGATTCAAGGGAGAACTCAAATAGTGTAATTCCTTAGAAAAGCAAAGGCAAAGTTCAAGAAAATAAACACGAGGCTACAGTACTTGAAAGGGGTAAGGTGGGATGAGGCAGAACAGGGTAGACAAATGAAGTCAATAATTCAATATATATCCTGCCAAATTAAGATGAGGGAAGGGGTGGGATAGAGAGGGATGGGTGAGAACATTAAAGGGAGGACATTAATCAAGATGCATTATATTTATAAGCTGCTTTGTTAAATGGAAAAATCCTTTGGTGCCAGTTCTGGGGCTTGAACTCAGAGCCTAGTCATGTCTCTGAGCTTTTTGGCTCAAGGCTACTGCTCTTAGTTCTCTACCACATGAGACAAAGCCCTATTCCCAGCATTTTTGGTGGTTAATTGGAGATAAGAATCTCAATGACTTTTCCTGTGTGGGTTGGCTTTGAACTGTAATCCTCAGATCTCAGCTTCTTGAATAGCCAGGATTATAGGCAGGAGCCACCAGTTCCTGGCTTTACTACATTTTGTAAGCATCAAGACCCAACAGACATATGCTATTATATCAGTTATGGTAGAACAGGTAATACCTAAGGATGAAAATAAAAAGAGAGAAAATACTTCTTAAAAAACAAACACTAGATGTGGGGCTAGGAAGGTGGCTCAGTGTTAGAGTGCTTGCCTTGCATGCATGAGGCCCTGGGTTTGATTCCTCAGTACCACATAAGCAGAAAAACCTGGAAGTACTGCTGTGGCTCAAGTGGTAGAACACTAGCCTTGAGCTGAAGAGCTGAGGGACAGCGCCTAGGCCCAGAGTTCAGGCCCCACGACTGGCCAAAAAAAAAATAACACTAGATGTATATGGTGGTTCATACCTATTAAACCCAGCATGTAGGAACTAAGGTAGGAGGATCATAAGTTTGAAACTAGCTTGAGCTATTACATAGCAAGCTTTTTGTGTCAAAAGCAAAAAGTAAAAGTTTAATGCTAGGGATGTAGCTCAGTGGTAGAATGCTTGCTAAGCATGTGTAAAACCCAAAGTTTCATCCTAGCCACACACACACACACACACACACACACACACACACACACACACACCCCAAAACAAAAATAAACCCACAATACAGATTGACCCATTGTAACAATGAGATGTACAAGACACTATGTTGAAAACGAACTTTACAACTTGGTGATGGGGGAGGGAGGAGTTGGGGAGCTGGGGAAGGAAGGCATGGTAGCGGAAAAACAAAGGAGGAAGTAACAATGCTCGATAGAAATGTACTCATTAGCTTACTCATGTAACTGTAACCCCTCTGTACAGTATTTCTACAATAAAAAACATATTAAAAATAAACCCACAAACAATGGCA